ATCCACAACAGGAAAAACTGGAGCCAGTTAACATGAGAAGGCAGCACCAAAGAGGATTCATTTGTTATGTATCTGAGCAAATAAGTAGCCTAGACAGCTTGCCCATGGGAAGTGTGAGCAAAAGAAATAGAAGGGGCACACAACTGTGAGGGTAGGGGGCATTGAGGAGGGGAGAGACACCTGCACAGGCAGATGTGATCTGGGAAAACATGCCCCTGGACCAAAACCAAACAAATTTCACATAGTTTATTGCAGAAAAATATTATTAATTGTATTAATTTAATAAAAAAAGCAAAGATGAGAAAATGAGCTAAAGTGAAGAAGATCAGATTGCAGAATCCATGCCATAAATTCAGGACCTAAACAACACATATAAAACATATTTTAGAAATATCAAGAAGCAGCTGGGTCTACACAGTGAGTTTCCAGGTTAGCCAGGGCTACATAGAGCGACCCTGTTTCAAAAACAGAACAAAACAATGAAAGAAATATCTAGAAGCATAAAGCATGTTAGAAAATCATATTTTTGTATAAAGGAGAGGTTTAAGCCATTCAAGATGAATGAGGGATAAGGAAGGAGTTAGGAAGCATAAAGTAATTAGAGAACATATGATAGATATGAAGAAGGGACAAGGGAGACTCAAACATAAGACTACTGTGTGCTTCTGTAGTAAAAAGAATTTAAAGATGGCAGTTCTCCCCATTGAAAGAATTCTTCAGTTCTTTGCATGGAAGAGGCTCATTACGTATGCCAAGAGAATATTTGAATGAATTAGGGTTGTAGAGCAGAAGATACTGTAAAAGTAACAAATTGAACAATGGAAGAAGAGGAATGGAGAAATATAATTGTAGCTCTCAAAGCCTCAGCTGTTTGAGCTAACCCTAACATTGAGATTTGTTCAGCTTCCTCAAGGGATAAAGCTTAAATGAACCTCTGCACACCAGTGTATCTACTCTTACTACAACCCTTCCCCTCCTTCAGGAAGCTAGGCGTACACCATCTAGCCTCAATTGGAATCTAGAAACAATAAAGGAAGCCAGTAAAAACAAAGACAATAGAATGGGCAGAAGGTAACCACATGTTTTGTGTGTGTATCTGTAAAGTGTGGCAGACAAAAGAAATACTCAACAGTAAAGCTCAAGAAAATGAAATACTGTAGGAAAACAAAACAGAAGTAGAGATGAAGTCGAACAAAAAACTTATTCAAACAAAAAGATGAAGATAATTTTTCTGCATGAAATGTAAGATAGCCAGGGATAAAGAGATGATTGGAAATTCTTCCATCGTGAGGAAAAAGCATGGTCCTAGTAGAAATTGGGGCAGGTCTAGAATGGCACTGAACCTCCGTGTGGGAACCAGAATCCAAGGGAACAATGCCTTCCAAAAATCCAAGGCAAAATATTTGTAGCAATCATAATAAAATCATTTTCAGACTGAAGACATCTCTTCAAACCCATTTCCGAGAGGGGAAGGAAAAGTGATGGGGGATGGAGGAGAGAGGGGCGATGAGAGAATGAATGAGAACTCACTCAGACCCCAGAGCAGCAGGACGGAGACAAAGAAATTCAATGATGATGGTACAGGATCCTCAGAGGACTGCACTGCCTTCAGCAGGCTGAGAGCAGCCAGGCACCTCAAAAAGAAGGGGGGGGGGATGGGCAGAAAGAGGCAGCAAGCAGCTAGAGTACTTTTTAAATATTTAAAAACGAGTTAGTGACAGGTGGAAGGAGAGGAAAGAGTTCTTAGCACCTGTGGAAAATTAAAATTTATATTTACTAAGAAAAGACACATGGTTGTGGTTTGCGTTTTCATAGTTACTATAAAAAACACTGGTTATCCATTTAACTGAAGGGGGCAATTTTAGTATTGGAAAGATGACAAAGAGGGAGATCTGCCTGTGTTGATACAGAAAGCTTGTAGATAAAAGGAGCTATGTCTTCTACAGCAAAATGCAGAAAGTAATGACTTGAAATACAAGACATAAAAAAGTATATATATATATATATATATATATATTTAATTGGAAACATCTCTATAGTGTATAGAAATCAGGTAGAGGAGGAGACTTTTTTTTTCTTCAGATTTTTATTTGAATTAGAAACAAGATTGTTTTACATGACAATTCCAGTTCTACCTCCCCTCCTCCTCTGCCACCCTCCCAACTAAAACCCTACCTATCACATATCCTTTCTGCTCCCCCTGGATGGTGAGGCCTTCCATAGGGTGCCATCAGAGTCTATTTTATCCTTTTGGATAGGGCCTAGGCTCTCCTTCGTGTGTCTTGGCTCCAGGAGTATCCCTCTTATGTGGAATGGGCTCCCCAAATTCACACCTATGCTAGAGATAAGTACTGAAGGAGGTCCCGTAGATTACCGAGGTTTCCTCATTGAAACACATGCGAGGAGGAGACTTTTATTCTAATTGTAGTCTTTGACTTTAAAGATATCACATAAGTTATTTTGATAAATATGTGATGGGGGAAGTCTTTCTGTATATATGTTTGTCTTATTGGTTGATAAAGCACTGTTGGCCAATAGGAAAGCAAGATAGGTGGGGCTAGGAGTCAAGGAGGATTCTGGGAAATGTAGTAAAGACAGAAGTCACCATGTGATCCCTGGGAAGACCACATAAGGTCGGCATCCTCGATAAGATAAGCCTTTTAAAATATATAGATAATGGTTATGGTTGATACTTAACAGAGCAAGCATATAAGAAATCCTAGTCATTGGCCAGCAACACTGTAACTAGTATAAGTCTCTGTATGTTGTTTTGGGTTCCTAACGTGGCAGTGGAAATCAGAGGGGGTTGGCAGAAATAGTTATCTTTACAAAAATGTTCACTTAAAATACAGACTACAGAATATTTATAGTTGTATAGTTCTTGGTTCCATTTTTTGATGTTTATTGTATGTAGGATCACAAACATACATGGATACACAAACAAAAGTAAAAGCAACCTCTTGGATTTTGCACTTTTTATTTTAATAAGCAGAAGTTGGTTACAAATGTACTGGAATAATGAAAAAATGTGAAGAGTATGTTTCTTGCTACCAGTGGCTGTGATCACATTATTACTTGATTAAAATCCTTCAGTGGTTTCTATAGCATTCTTTAATGCAATCTTAACCATAAGTCTGCTGCATTGAGATATTTCATACTGGCTAGAATGACTATAACCCACAGATAATTAGGAAGATGTAGAAAAATTGAAACCTTCACATAGGACTTGTGGAAAAATCACATGTTAGCTGCTTTGGGAAACTGTTAGTTCCTCAAATAGCAGGTGACCCAGCTATTTCCTTCTAGGTATAATCCCAAGAGAGATGAGAACCCGTATCCATACAGAGATTTGCACACAAATGTTCCTAGCAGCATTATTTTTAATAAGCCAAAGGCAGAAACAACCCAGATGCTCACCAACTATTGGATGGAGAAATAAAGTCTGCAGTATCCACACAGGGGAGTAGGATCCACTGACATAATGAAGTGTTGATACATGTTACACCATAGATGAACCTTGAAAAGAGTGTTCTGTGTAGAAGAAATCAGTAAAGCAGAGAATAGAGTCTGCTTGAAGCCTCTCCCACACTTTCATCTCCGGCACTATCCTTTCTGTGTTGTGGCATAGATGAACTGTGTGTTAATGTCAGCACTTGTCAGCCACAAACCTGGTCAAAGCTTACCTTTTAAGTTACCTGGACAGTACAAGTCTCTTTTTATATTTAACTCAGCCAGTTTATTTCACCTTCAAAATAGAAATAGCTTTCCATTCTGCCAGGTGCTAGTTGAAACTGGCTAGCATTTACAAGTATTACTCAAAACACAGAGCAGGCAGGCCCAGCAAATGCTACAAACTTGGAAACATGGTGATTGCCTACCACTTCCTCCCAGCCCCAAGTTTTAACAGAAACAAGCGTCTCCTGGATGTGGGGCTGTCAGCTGGACAGAGTGGTTTTCACATGAGTGTCTGTAATTCACTGTATGTTTTGTGGGCCGTAATTGGAGAGTTTCCAATGAAAATGCAGCTGCTGCTTGCCGTTAACTTCACATCAGCCCCACCATGCATTGTAAGCAACTGAAGCTTTGCCTCCACTTACTGCATGGCTGTGGGTCTTCCTTTACCGTAACTAGACACACGTCATAGGCATAGTCAGAGAGCCATACATGAGAACGACTTAAGTATTCACATTATAAGGCTGAAATCAAGCCCTGAACCATGAGAGGAGCAAGAGGTCTATCCTTCCCCTTCGCTCCAATATAGGAATCGCTGGCAGAAATCACTGGGATTTTTTTTCTTTTCTTTTTTATCTCTTGCTTTTTAATCACTACAGAGTCCATTCTGGCTATGAAGTCACTGCTTGAGCACTGTCCTGCCCTGAGCACTAGGTTTATAGATGTGTGCCACCATGTCCACTATCATGGGGTCCTTTGAGGTTCTTGTTCTCCGTCCCTTGTTTGTCAAATAGATGAAGTCATATTGGATGAAATATGACATGAAGAAGATGAGCTGAGGAAACCATTTTACATCCGTACAGTGAATTACTGTTGTAGCTGTTCATGCAGAAAACAAAGCTAAATCAGGCTTACAGTGGCATGCATCTAAATCTTATTTAGAAAAAATGCACATATACACACATTTCATTTATGTAGAGATGTGTTTGCATTTTAAGATAAAGTTGTGTGCATTGTGGACCTGTACCTGCACAGAATCTTTCTGGAGGGGTATATAATTATTTGAAAATGACAGTTGCCTGTGGTGAAGGACTCGGGGGTGTGATAAAAGGACATAGTTGTTACTACAGTGCTCTTTCTATTGTCCGCCTCTCACAGTGCACACGCAGAACCTGTACAATGGAAATAGATTTGTATCTTAATGTTTTTGTCACTTTAAGTCATTTATATTAAATGGATGAAAAAAGTGTAGCATCAATTTGTGCTAGTGCTTGTGTGATTTTCTAGCTATTAAAAGTCGCCAATGACTTGTGTATGGTGTCTTGCAGAGTTACATCCATTTGGGAGAACAGTCTTCAGATCACTACAATTTCCAGTTTTATAGGAGCATGGCTTGGAGCATTTCCTATTCCACTGGATTGGGAAAGACCATGGCAGGTTGGTTTTAAAGACATTACACTAACAAAATGTATGTTGGCACAGCAGGAGGAAAGCCGATGAGGAAAGCTAGTATAGGATGGTGGTATTTGACTGTTCAGTAAAGTAGGGAACACAGTGCTGTCTAGATGCCTGCTTATTGGGCCTGACCCAGTGCCATAGACAGTCATGTTGGCATGGATCTACCTCACAGATCTAAATGTTTCTTTTAAAACTGTGTGTATGTGTGTTGTATACATGTGTAAGCACATGTGTGTACTTATGCATTAATCATGTGTGGAGGCCAGAGGCTGACATCTAGTGTCTTCTTCTGTTGCTCCTCACCTCAGTTTTTGAGACAGGGTCTCACTGAGCCTGGGTACTACTGATTGGCAAGGCTGACTAGCCATCAAGACCCTGGGATCCTCCTGTCTTCCCCTTCCTGCACTAAAGTTACAAATGTGTGTCACCATGCCTGGCTTTTCACATGGGTGCTGGTGATCCAAACTCAGGACTTCATCTTGCAGAGTCCCTGCTTGTAAACTTTAAAAAGCTTATTTTGCCAATACATACAGGAGAATTTTCTTTTCTCTCTCTCTTTATTATATTTCTGATCTTAGAGTCTATTTTCTTAACTAGATTGATTGCTACATGGAATACTTACCTTGAAATATATTATGAAGCATATTTCTAAAGCAAGCTTTGTTACTTTTTTTGAGTTTCAATTAGCATATATACATATATATATATATATATTTATATAAAAAGAGCAATAATGGCAATATGTTATGCATCAATAGCAGCAACAGCTTTTCCAGGTTCTGCAGTCACTTGAACAAAATTGTAGAGACATCCAGCACGCTCCATTTTAAAAGAACAAAAAACAAACAAACAACAACAACAAAAAAGTAAAAAACAAAATCCCAGAAAACAGCACAGTTCTGTTACTCTTGTGGTACTTGGCACCATTTTTTTTTTTTTAATTAGCTTCTCCGTCATCATCTGGGAGGAACCATTCTGAGCAACATCATTCAACACAACTCATAAAGCATGGTTACTACTATGTATCATAAAGCAGGTCCACATGTGAGTGAGTACATATCATGTTTGTCTTTTTGTGATTGGGTTACCTCACTCAGAATGGTTTCTTCGAGTTCCATCCATTTTCCTGCAAATTTCAAGATTCCATTGTGTTTTTTTACATTTTTATTTATCTCATGTGCAAGCATGTTAGTGTGAGAGGGAGTCAGAACAGGCTCTCACCTTCCACCAGGTGAGTCTAGGAATCAAACAGGTTGTCAGGTTTGGCAGCAGGTGCCTTTACCCACTGAGATGTCTTGCCAGCCCCCAAGTAATTTTAAAAATAAAGGTAAGTGGTTTGAGAGGAAGCTTGACAATACATGGGATACCACTGAGCCATATTCCCACCCCTTGGTGCTTTGAGACAAGATCTCATTGTGTAGCTCAGGCTGACTTTGAACTTGTTCTGTCATCCCGCTGGTCTGAAACTTATGATCCTTTGCATCTGCTTCCTGATTAGTAGGATTACAGATATGAGTCACTACACCAACCATCATTATCTTATTCTTAAAATATGCATGTTTTGAGACAGGATCTTTTGTAGTCCATGCTGGCCTTGAATTCATTTTGTATGCAAGGATGGCCTTAAATTCCTGATCCTCATACTTTCCCTTTCCTAGTATTGGGATTACAGGTATGTTACCATGTTATAGTATTTTCTGTTGCTATGTTAAACATTGACCAAAAGACACTTAGGGGAGGGAAAGATTTATTTGGCTCATATTTCCAGGTTATATTGGTCAGGAAAAGAGCTCAAGACAAGAACTTGAAGCAAAATCCATGAAGGAACACTGCTTATTTGCTTGTTCCTTCCTAGGTTCATGCTTAGCTAGCTTATGGGATGGTGCCACCACAGTGGATGGGCTCTCCTGCATCAAGTAATAATCAAGATAGCCCCCATAGACATGCCCACAGGCCGGTGTGAGCTGAAAAATCCCTCAGTTGAGGCTTTTCTTCTCAGATGACTCTAGACTTTGTCAAGTTGACAATGAAGATTAACAAGGTCATGCCATACTTTGTCAACTTGACACACAAACACATCACTGTGACACCATAACCTTTACTTTTTTGTCCCCAAGATCTTGTTTCACTAATTTTTGTTTTATACTGTGCTTGTTTATTGTATGGTTATTTTATAATGTGATACTCACTACTGATCATTTAGTTTATTGCCAGTATTTTACTATAATAAACATTGCGTTGACAAACACTTTTGAATCTATAGCATCGTGAATTTTTCCTAAGATATTTTTTCCCAAAAAGAACAATGGTATCAAAAAATAAAAGTCCTTTTTTTTTTTTCCAACATGGAGAGAATATTTTCTGGTCTCAAAGAGAAAATATATTTGCCTTTTAAATTTAAGCTGTATTAAAAATTTTTATAAAAAGTTAAAATTAGCCCTCCCCCATCCACAGAGTACAAACCACCATTTGTACTCTGATGGTAACTTTTGCAGCTCTCTCCATGCTGTTCATAATGTACATATTGTTCTTAATCTGCTTTTTCCCTTTAAACTTTATATTATGGTGTTAGCACATGTTAGGTTAGAATTATATAACTGGGACATTCTATTTTCTTAAAATAATATATCAGGGTTTTTTTTTTTTTTCTTTTTTTCTATTTGGGGTTTTTCAAAACAGAGTTTCTCTGTGTAGCCTTGGCTGCCCTGGAACTCACTCTGTAGACCAGGCTGGCCTCGAACTCAGAGACCCACCTGCCTCTGTCTGGCTAGTGTTAGGCATGTGCCACCATCACCACCTGGCAATATATCAGTTCTGAATGGGCGTTAGATTGTTTTCAGTTCACTGGTCGTTGCATTAATTTTATTATTGTCATACTTGGGCATAATCTGCATATTTGCCAAGTTTGTAGGGTAAATCCCTAGGAAACAAACAGTTGGGAGTTAAATCTTTCATACATACCTCACTTATAGGACCCAAATTTTCTGTTGAACATAATTGCCTATTTTTAGGTCCATTTTTGTGGTTTTACTTAGATGTTGTCTCTCGGACAGTTGAGTTTCTCTTACACATTCAGTAATTCTGGTGAGCTGTGCCCCCCCCCCCATGTTGACTGGTTGTTAAATTGTAGAAATCTCAGGAGGTTGGAGACCATGACAGTAATGATGTCCTTGTGGAGGGTTTAGTCCTCATGAAGCAAAGTCCTACTTCTCACCATATTGGTGACCCAACTGGCATCTCATCTCATTGCTGCCATCAACACTTAGTTTCATTCAACTGAAGAGTGTTAGTGACTTAAGTAGGAGGGCAGAATTATTGAAGAAGGAAGGTATATGAGTTGTTTCAAACTACTAGTTCATGACGTTCTGTTAATATGTTAAAATCTAAATATAGAATATTAATAGCAACTAAAGCATAATGGAACATCAGCTTTAACAAGTTGATAAAATGTCAGTGTGTATATACATTACCTACTTTAGTGTAGACATTTGATCTTACATGTTTAGAACTTCCCTATAAGATTACAGAAGCAGGCTGGGGAGATGGCTCAGAGATTAAGAGCACTGGCTGCTCTTCCAGAGGTCCTGAGTTTAATTCCCAGCAACCACAAGGTGTAGTGAGATCTGGTGCCCTCTTCTGGCAAGCAGGCATGCATGCAGGCAGAATACTGTGTACATAATAAATAATTTTTTAAAAAAAGATTACAGAAGCAGAAGCCAAGCTGTGGAAAGTAGATATGATGATGAAAACATGAGTTTGGGTTTGCTTAGAAGACATTATTTACAGTTCAGTTGTCCATTTTTAGATTAGTTGGGAGGTGTGACTTTGAGACAGGCTCTCACTCTGTAGCCCAGACTTGCCTGGAATTCACGATGTAGCTGCCATGAGCCCTTGACCATCCTTTCACCACATCCCATGCACTGACTGAACTGACTTTTTTAATCTCTGTGAGTGTGCATAAGCACATGTGTACTAGTGCACATGGTGAAGCGTGCTGCTCAGGCCTCATTGTCACTGTGTATGCCACGCTAGCTGGCCCTCCAGCTTCATGTGAGTTCTCTTGCACTTCTGTGACAAGTATTTTACCCACTGAACCATCTTCTGAATTACAGACTTTTGTTGTTGTTGTTGTTGTTTGTTTGTTTTTTGAGGGTTTCTCTGTGTAGCTTTGGAGCCTGTCTTGGCACTCGCTCTGGAGACCAGGCTGGCCTCGAACTCACAGAGATCCACCTGCCTCTGCCTCCCGAGAGCTGGGATTAAAGGCGTGCACCACCAACGCCTGGCCCGAATTAGACTTTTACAAAAGTTTTTTTTAGTTAGCTAATTTGAATATATTCCAAGTTGTTAGTCTTCATTATTGAAAACATTTCATTCAACTGAAATACACTGGGCTTTTTAATTTCATTGTTAGTTTTTAGAGTATTACACAGTAATGGCTGACTTATTTACTATAGCCCTTTTAAAGTGTGGTACATATAAATGGGGTCCCAAAACCTTTTATTCAGTTTCTTACTTACCTTTTCGTAGTTGTTTTCTATAATAAACTAGAGAAGTGATGATGTTTTACTTTTTCTTTCACTTTCACTTTCAGTTTTTGTGGTGCCATTGTTATTCTCCAATAAATCAAATTCTACAGATCAAGACCTCACTGTGGCTCATAATGTTGATAGAATCTGCCAGAAAAGCAGATAAGGGGATGATGGGGTTAGCTAAATGTGGGGACTTTGCTAGAGCAAACTTTGAGAAGATACTACTGTATAAACTCTGCAGTCTAAAATACAGCACTCTATTAAAAGATTTTAGTTCTCCGTTCCTTGCAACCCACTACACACTTGATATGTTTACATTATGTTCAAAGCAAGCATCTCTGGGTTATGTTTTGTTTATATTTTGGAGAAACGGGAGTGTCTGGTTTCTTTAAAAACATACATGAATGAACACAGAGAGACAACAAAGCCTGTCATGTGTGAATGCCATTTTCTCTCCTCTGAATTCAGATTTGATTTTGTATAATGTTTGGATTTTGTATAATGTTGTTGTTTGTATAATAATTGATTGTGTTCTATAATGAGAAATCTCAAGTGTATTTGTAGTTTTCAGATGGATTCTTCATTAAGTGGCAGGGAAGGTCCAGTGAAAATTAATGCCAATGAAAACTTACTTTCCACTTAATGTGAGCCTTCTATGATTTTAGTAGTGATAGGTGATGAAAGCTATCTGCATAGTTGAAGAACGACCTCACTGTGTAGAAGGCAGCAAAAGAAGGTTGTTACAGAAAGTGGGTTAGGAGGTACCTGCCGTGCTTCTGTGACCTTCGAAAGAAGTGTTTTGCTGATAGTGCTTCCAGCAAACACAAATGCCAGCTTCATTATGTACACTGAGCTCTCATTGTCAGCTGTCTTGTTCTTTCTGCCAGCAGTCTTTAGGTGAGTTAGTTTCCTTTTGTTTCTTGGGTATTTTGTTAAACCTGTTTATTGAGTTACTTCAATTTCATATCATGTTCAATTCTGTGTGACATTTCAGACATGAATACAACATGAGTCATTTGTAGGTCTCTATGTACCAGGCATGGGTTCTGGTGCTATGCCAAAGGTAATGTAATCATGGCAACTGTAGTGCAAGGTAGACCTCTTTCCTGTTCTTAACCACAAAGGCAAAACGTAGGAGGGAAGAGTACACACCATGTTCACCCTTATTTGACTGGCAAAAGGAAGATTTAGGATTCGAGCAAAAGCTACACCTACACCATGAATCTTTTCACTGCTGGGGACTGAAACAGTGTTTGTTTCCCTTTTTTTAAAGGCTTTGTTCTCTTTAGAATAGCTTAAGTAGTAAATTGCTTTCATTTCCCACATTGTTTCTTCTAAATGTCCTTATCACTCTGGTGATGTATTTTTAGACCAAAATTTAATACATTTGTAGGAGCATATTTAAAGCTAATTTACAATGTCTTTGTGTCTGAAAAACTCATGCTTTTTCTTTTTTGAGTGTGTGCCCATGTGTAGCATGTAGCAGTAGGAAGGTGTCAGGTGTCACGGCCTATCATTCTCTGACTTGTTCCACTTACTTGTTCTACAGACCTTTTTTGTGTGTTTGTGTGTATCTGTGCACATGTGTGTGCCCATGGGATCCAGGAGAGACACTAGATCCCCCAGCTGGAGTTACAGGTGTTTGTGAGCCTCCAGATATGGGTGCCATCAGAGTTAAATAGGGAGAAACTGATGGATCTTCAGAGGAGGGGTTACTAGCTCTCTCTTCAGATGGAAAGGAAGGTAAAACTTAAGCAAGCCAGTTCTACATCTCACACAAGCTACTTTTCAGTGGGTTCATTGTCCTGAACAAATTCTCATTTGCCAGACTATTAGAATTCATCTGATGAAGCCTGCTAACCTACCATCTTCAAATGATCATTTACATTTCCTTTGAATTCTGTCTTATGTGTGTCATGCTGGATACTCCTAACGCATTTAAATGCTGCAGTCTGGTGAGGGACACACGAGTCTGCTAATTGTAAATGGACACTGGGCTGCACTTACTCTGACCTCTCCTACCACAAAGAGCATAGTTAGTTAGGAAGTTACTGTGCTCTAGTTTGCTAATTGTAAATGAACACTGGCCTGCACTTACCCTGACCTCTCTTGTACTACAAAGAGCATAGTTAGGAAGTTACTTGTAGAGTGGCGAATTCCTGGTCAGGACTCCTGTCAAAAGTGACAGTTCACACTCCCTGACACACACACACATGCATGCACATATGCTGGCCTGACTAGTACCGTCCATCTCTCATGAAAGTCCTGCCTTGGTCCTGTCAGCAGAGCTTACAATGAGCACATCTTCTATTAAGTAATACTTTTCCCAGTCTTGAAATGTGTAAACTATACGTTAACATTCTACTTTAATACAGTATAACCCCTTCAGGAAGGGAAATACCAATTCACCTAAAATTACATACGCCCTCATTTGGTCAAATCAGTGATCTTTGTTTTATCCTCTATGACATTTTGCAATAACCAATTCAGTAACAATCCTATGATTTCTAGTTTCAAGTTATGCAAGAATTTGTGACATTTGTGATTTTTAGAAAAAGTTTCATAAATATGATTTTCTATCCTGGTGAAAAAGAACCATATATATAGAGATAGTATCTTATCCTGTGGCCCAGGCTGGCCTCAAACTCATGGTGATCCACCTTTGTCAGCCACCCTACCAACCTCTGAACTACAAGGTCACAGGCATGCAGCACCATCCCAGGGTGGTTTTTATGAGAGAAGGTCTTGCTTTGCAGGTGTGCTAGCCAGTTTGCTGTCAAGTTGACACCAGCTAGAGTCATCTGTGAGTAGGTAATCTCAGGGAGAAAATACCTTCTTTAGATGAGGCTTTGACAAGCCTGTAGGGCATTTTCTTAATTAGTGACGTGGGAGGGCCAACGCATGGTGGGCAGTGCTGCTCCTGGGCTGGTGGTCTTGAGTGCTACCTGAGCAAGCCAGGAAGCAGTGTCCCTCATGGCCTGTGTACCAACTCCTGCCTGCCCTGTTGAGTTCCTGTGTGGACTTTCTTAGATGATGAAAAGAGATGTGGAAGTGCAAAGCAAATAAATCCTTTCTTTCTTCCCCAAGCTGCTTTTGGATATGGTGATTCATTACAGCATGGTCACCCTAACACAGCATCTCAGGTTGCTTCAAACGAACCATCCTCTTCCTTAGCCTCTGAGTGCTGGGATAAAAGGCAGGTGCACTGTGCATAACTAGGATGCTAACTTTCCACCCAGTAGAGCTGCTCATCTCTAAAAATAAGGCTTTCCTTTGATAACCTTACTTTATCTACTTGCATTGCATTATGTTATGTAACACAAGATGTCTCTTCCATGTAGTGACTTTTAAGAAGCATTTGAAGTGAAAAGAAACTATTAAAATAAATGACTGTCACTTTGGTGGCAAACCCCATGAATGGCTTAATATCAATGCCTTGGTTCTCAATCCGATTTTCCTTACATAAAAACAAATAGTTATATATAGGGATCTCAGATTGGCATAATTTGAAGAAATATTTATATCTCTGCAGCTGAAATAGCTCATAGGTACTACAGATTTTTAAAAAATTACTATTATGTCATAAAGAATGTTAAAACAAGTGTGTCTGTGAAACAAGGAAATAGTTTTAAATGGATCTCATTTAAGATCTCATTAAAATAGAATTAAACCAGGCTGATTTGACAAGTCAGCATGGATTCTGTACTGTGGTGTGGTTTTAAACATTTTAAGGCAATCATAAGAAAGCCGGCAAGAAGCTGATTAGGAGGAAAAGACTGTTAACAGTAAGGACTTATGTGTCTCAGGAGGGTCACACCAGCACTCTTGGAGGCACAAAGCCTGGACCATCACTAGGGAGCCATCTGAAAAGTTGGGACATTTTATTTGCTGATATCATGGTTGTCTTGAGTTTTGCATAACAGTGAATTTCTGAATGTGCCAAGCTTTAACCCCACACAGGAGAAAAAAGTTTAAACCTTCATTTATTTCATTTTTCACGTTCTTTGGAAGTGAAGTATGGCAACTGTCTAGAGAATGTGTACAAATGTATGTGTATGTGTTTGAAAACAATGCACCACACTGAAATCACAGAGTGATTAAAACAGAATTTGGTAACCAAAATCGAAATTTGCCTGGGGCCACAGGGATTGTCACTCTCCCCACACTCTGACTGACAGAGAGCTTTTTAGGGGTGCAAGTGCTCACATATTGCCAGGGGTGAGCAGTGTCAAAGCAGAGGAAAGGGATTAAATAAAAACTACTAAGGTAAGAAGTTCAGTGTTTTACATAAGTAGCAAACTGCATTTCATTTTATTTATGACCCTATACGTGAGGAAGGGACACTGTTGAAGTAACAATCATTTAAAAAGCAACAACCAACAAACCAGTATTTAATTTGGTATTTAAAACCAATAATTAAAATCAAATGGAAGCAGTGTCTAAAGGAACTAAGATAATTCATAACAAATGGCACAACTCAAGCTCTACTTATTGGAAATATGATAATTCATCGCAAGTAAGCTACAATGTACCTGTAAGGATAGAGTAAGGGCACACATTAGCAAAGTTCTATTAGATTTCAAGAGTCCCCAAAAGTGTAAAGGGTTTTAGAACAGATTTTCTGTGCAAACCCTGATCAGTGAGAATTCCCTCTAAGTTCTTTTGTACATGACCTTGTTTGAAGCAGGGTATTCACTGGCACAATTCATGTTAGTAAAAGTTTTGAGAAGCATTTTATTTCCCAGTTATTTCACTAGTTTGAAAGTTTTTCCAGAGATTAGTCTGAATTTCTGTTGCAACCTATGCCTTTAATGAAGATATGCTTCTGAAAATAAGGCAGCTTCTCTATAATCTGCTCATGAATAGAAAACAAATCTTTGGTTTTCTTTTTTTGGTTAAAGTGGCAGAGAAGATTTTGCAAAAAGAAATACTAAATAACCAACACAAAGAGCTCTTAACAAGCAATGGGAAACTCCAAACCCCATCAAGGTAAATAGAGTACCTAAGGCACCTCAGGTTCAGATGATACAATCTTCTGCTTAGAGTTCGAGTGTTCTATATACATGGTTCCTACCACCTGGAGAAGGGGATGCTGAAAAGGTGACGTCCAACTATGACTGCTATGACTCAGAGGAGAGGGAAAAGAGCTCATGAGTGGGAGGGACAGTGGAGAGCACTCTCATGAGGAAACCGTGGTGACACAGTATGCACTTCCAGATTCTTAATCCATTTCTCTCAGAGCATGAAAGTTCTCGACTTCAACTTCATTGCCTTATACACCACGTGTCAAGGGTTTCACAAATGTAGATTTGAAGAAAAAAGAAAAACCAAAACCCATCAAATCTCCAAAGGCAACTTGGAAATGAATAATACTTTACTGTCGGGATTCCTTCATATCATGGGTTTGACAACTTAGCTAGCATGTTAACTCATTATACAATTTCTGTCAATTCTATCTAAAAACAAGACCAAAACTAAATGGGAAAGTTACAGAAATCCCATTTGAGCATACATAAGGCTATGATGCTTAATGTGAATCACCACTGCTTGGAAAAAAAGATATCCCATGTCCCCTTCCAAGAGAAAGCTCTTGTCCAGTAGACCATCCACTACCAAGTGGGGGAGTGTGGTGCTTATACTTCAAAAACTCCTACAAAGCTCACATGCAAGACAGTACATCTAGATTTGTGACTGGTATGAACATTTAAGGCTGTCATTTTCAAGTATCAATGTTTAGTGTTCCATTACCCAATCTGTGCAATAGACAAAGCTGTAAGCACAAACCCTGGAAGATAACAGAAGCTCGATAAAGACCAAGAAATTGTAGTTTAAGCAACAGCGAATTTCAACCTAAGAAAGGCTGGCAACACGATATGGATTAGATTATGCTTCCCTAAACTGCATGAGCTGGTTCGAATGGAAGCTTCTAACAAACACTACTGTCTGTTGCATGGCATTTAGAATAAGGCAGATCTATAGCAGACGGAGGAAGAAAGCCAAATGGTACCAGCCAGTTATGAAGGTGGTTTTGCCTCCAGTACATTTTGAAGGCCAATTCCCCAGAGAAGGGTTAGAAATGGCTCCAGCACTGCAAATAAACTTTACAAAGAAACAAAGTTTGCTTCCAAGATTTTTTACCCAGGGCTTTTAACTTAGGGACCCATATACCCTGTCTGTGGCATAAAATAAATCACCATTACTTAGTTCTGGTTTAATGAAGTGTAGCATGGCTGGAAAAACCATCTTGGGAAGACTGTAATGTTCTGCTTGCCTCGTACTCTAGGTGTGTGCATAAGCTGTGGGCCCTACCCTATGTGGCTATGGCATCTGTAGCTCATGGAAGCAGAGTACCCACACACTCCAAGGAACATGCTCAGATTCTAGGCCTTCCCTCTGACACAACTGAAAATTTCTAAGGTTTGGTCAGCCTACACACTTCTTACTTCATTTGATGCACACAGCCAAAGTGGGAATTAGAAAAATGGCCAACTAGTTACTTCAGAGAGCTTAAACTGAGTTCATGATTATGGCAAACTATGTCCCAATTTTTAAATTTGTACTTTAGCATGTATTTCATGCAATTTGGGGAACATCAAACTAAATCTACAGTTGCTGGAAGCCTCATTACCTTTTAATGCACATTAACTAAAATGTGTAAATTTTTAGTGTTCATAGTAAATGCAGTTATGACCTATTAAACTTTTGGCATTCTTTAAGAAAGCACATTAAGCTTCACTATAGAAATGTTTATGTTACACTTAATTTGTGCTCAAGTAATAATAAAACATCGGTTGGTTTCGATCTCCTAATTCTTTCCTCAGGTGTGGCCCATCTCCTGTACACTCGGAGCGACCTTTGGCTACGTGGCTGGCCTGGTTAGCTCACCACTCTGGATATACTGGAATAGAAAGCAACTTACATACAAGAGCAATTAAGAGGAGAAAGGGGAGAAGACATTTCTTTGTGCAGATTCCGTAAGGGCTGTGCAGAAATGTGTATGGTCAAAGCCAAGCAGTTCCTTTTACAGCACTGTTGTTTTTTTCAATGTCGGTTCAACATGGTGTGATTGTAGCTTTTTAACTATGAAACCCCTGAGAGATTGTACCTTCTAGTTGAAATAAAGTATTTATAGTAGATTGTGGCTTCAGATGCTGTTTGCTGCCGCTTAGACCTTTAAGAAACATTCTCAATGACACTGTAGAATGATGAGGACAGGTTCCCTCCCCCCACCCCCTCAGGTTAAACTTCACTGCAAGAGGTCAGGACATCGCTGTAGCATTTCAGATGCTTTCTGGGAGAAATGGACAGTTCTCTTGGCCACTACAGACTTTTCTCACGTGATCAAACAACAGTTTATACATCTTGATCCTATTCTCTTTTTAACTGCATGTTTCTTTGGAGTTAAAATGGCTATGATAGCCTCATCAAAAACAGTCTTCAAACCCTTCTGGGTCAAAGCTGAACATTCCACATAGCAGCGTGCACCTATCTGGGAAGGAGGAAAAAAAAGCCACAATTATATAAAACAGTCTTATAGAACTCAGCAACAACACATTATGTGGGCAGTTATAAAATATAGCTATGCAAAAGAACCCTAAGACCCATATTTACAATACCCAGAGGGAGACAGTTGTTAAAATACTAGTGTATGGCCTTTATTAGATATTCACTACACATTAAGCAACTGCTTAAGTGCTGGGCACATGTCAGTGACCAAGGTGCCCTACTGTGTGTCGAGAGCAGGCACAGGAAAGTGCTGGGGGGAAAAGGACAGGGAAATGGGAGGATGGTGGTAGTCAGGGAAGCTCCTCAACAGGTCAAGGTTGAGGAGTGCGGGATCCTGAGGGGCCAAGACCCAAAGACCAATGTGGGAAGTTTTTGGCATATGCAAGACACAGTAAAGAAGCCAGAGGTGGGGGAGAGAGACACATGTGACTATTCCCTGTATAGAGTGTCAGTTTCTCAGCATCGCCTGGGATCCCAGAATTTTTTTTTTTTCCAGACTACCCATTCCCTTCTGATGTTCTAGCTCTATGCTTGCTATTTTAGGGCTGGTTTCTCTCAAGTCATCTTCATAAGAGCAGGGTAGGAACTTAATGTTGTTCTGCTGTGTTGTCACCTGCCAAGAAGAATCACAATTTCTATTCATTCTCCTTGGATTGGAAGCGCATGCTCACGTCTTTCGACCTGGTGACTTTGGATGGATGCTCTTAACCCACTTTTCTGCTGGGGTATATGTGCCCTTTTCTGATGAATTCATTAGTCGCAAGGGTTCCTGTGTACTAACACATTAATGCCCTACACATAAACCTGACTTATTTCTGGCACCCGCTATGATAGCACATATTTATGTAGTCAACTTGCCTGCATTTATAACTTTTGCCTTTATGTATTTAGAAATTCCTTCTCTCCCCAGGATTATAAAATCAAATGCAAGGAATTTCTGAAGTGATTTGTTGGTGAAATCCTTTCTCTTTGCTTTGGGAAAAGATGCCCTCCAGAAAGTTCTCTTGCTTCTTTCTATCTCCTAACAGTGTATTTTAAAAGACCTTATTAGACAGTACTTAGACAAAAATCCAAAAATCCTATTAAAGCTAGTGGAAAAAATATGAAGAGGAAGAAAAAGAATCCAATGATCTTATAGTCAGATGGAGGGAAAAAAGAATCTAGCATTGGGGTAAGGGAAAATGTGTGTTAAAAGATATATGGGGGCTGGAGAGATGGCTCAGTGGTTAAGAGCACTGGCTGTTCTTCCACAGGACCTGAGTTCAATTCCCAGCACCCACATGGCAGCTCACAACTACCTGTAACTCCAGTTCCAGGAGGTCTGACATCCTCACATAGGCATGCATGAAGGCAAAACACCAATGCATATGAAATAAAGATAAATAAAATTTTAAAATGTATTATATGTATCTGTAAGTATTCATTTTAGAAATCTAGCCATAATTTTCTTCTTAGTCACAGAATTAAACTGTTACCTGATGTCACTTCAACTGTACCTGCAGGAGTCATAACCAAAAGCAGAGCCCAACTTGGCACAGTAGTAATGTTTCAATAATAAGAAAGTTATGAAGTCTCAGCACCTGCTTCTTGGCTTAAAAAAAAAAATCACCTACCAATGGCTTTAAAGACACCATAGTTGTAAGCATAGCAGAGGTAAACAGACATGTGATCTGTAAGCCCAGCTCTGCCATTTTTTACTGCAAGATCTCCGGCAAGTCTCCCTGACATTTAAAATCCCCCATTCTCTCTCATCTATGGTCAGCGACACAGACCTTCCTCACAGTGTCAGTACTGAAATAATGGAGACAGTGGGAGAGAAAGCCCAGCAGTGTCTGAGCCATGCACAGCACAGCTGGCTCCAACTGTTACTTCACACCCGAGTGAAATCCAGCAAGGACTTGTTACCTCTTTTGCTAGTTTCTGTCCTTGTTCCACACAGACAGGTTTTTCTTTCATGTCATTCAGTCTCGCTAAAGTTTTGGGGTCATCTCGGAGATCAATCTAATTAAGAGAGAACAATAATGTCCCATAATATGTGTTTTTTCAAAAAACAATGCAAATAGTCCCATTTAATCCCCACATATTAAAAAAACCCATTTTTTTAAAGATACTAATATAATTTGGGGGAATTATTTCTATGTAAAGATGAGAGTACTTACCATTGGAAACTTACTAAACCCATCATTTGCTAATCACAGGGTCTTTTATCTGAGGAGCAATCCCCCTCCCCAAACTAGGAGAGCTTATTTTTAGATGAATAAAATCAAAACATACACACCTGAGTTCCTATTAATAAGAAAGGGACATTTGGTGCATATTCCTTAAGTTCCGGTACCCATTCCTCTTTCACATTTTGAAATGAGGCTGGATTTACCACAGAGAAGCATATGAGGAAGACGTCAGTCATGGGGTAAGACAAAGGCCTCAGACGGTCATAGTCTTCCTATGGACAAAGGAAAAGTCATTATTTACACTTCATGTCTACAGATTAGTAGCAATAAACACATTAGATCACATGGTCAAAAAGTAAATCGAGGAATGTATCCATGAAACAAGATGATTCCACTTGGTTTTGATCTTCTTCTCTTTTTAGTAAAAAAATTTAATACAATTAACAAATCAAATAAATACTAGGAAAACGGGTGTGTGGTGGTACACTCCGGTAACTCCAGAATTTGGGAGGCTAAGGAAGGGAGATGGGGAATTCTAGGTCAGCCTGGGCTACAAAGTGAGGTTCCCATCTCAAAACAAACACACACACACACACACACACACACACACACACACACACACACACACACACGAGGGGGAGGCGGAGAGAGAATGCATTGTGATTCCTAAAGCTATCCCTGCAAAGTTTGTACAAAGACCCTAGGCAAGCTCCATGTTAGGTATTCTAACATAACACACACTGAATAGGTACGGCAAATATCATTCCAATAGTACAGGTATGGACCAGCATGGTCTTTCAGGGCTTCATCCTTAAGACTGTAGGATCCACATACAGAGGCACAGAAGGCAGAGAACTTGTAAGGATGGACAGTCATAGTAAGAATGCTGGGCTTTCAACTGGGGGCTTGACTGCGAGCAGTGTTCACAGCAATGAACGAACCTTCACTGTGACTCTTGAGTTTTGCTTTTCTTGTCCTCCTCTCCCATCCCCTTTGTGTATATGGCATATGGATATTAAAGACAAAAATGTTTAAGTCACAACCCCATCCTACTTCCCTTTCCTTTCCCAAATGTTTTCTTGTGTATTGGCCAGGATTTTTCTTTGCATGTATACACCTGGACCTGCACACATCCATAAAGCCACACATTTGATCAAACAATGCATTCCGCTCTGCAACTGCCTTGTCAGCTCTGCCTTGGTAACATCTCCACACCAAAATACACTGGACTATTGCATGGGTTATACATGTTGCTTTAGGGCTTTCCTCCTCATAGGTGTTTTATTTTCTTTCACAAATGCAATGACTATCTCATTTTGCATGGACTATTTTCTGTGACACTAATTTCTACTTATATTCTAGCAAAAGAACGGAGTCCATTTCTGTCACGGCTGGACTCATCTGGTTCCACAGAAACTGGTTGGTGTAGACTTACTTTTTTTTTTTTTTTTTTCCCGAGACAGGTTTTCTCTGTGTAGCTTTGTAACCTATCCTGGCACTCGCTCTGGAGACCAGGCTGGCCTCGAACTCACAGAGATCTGCCTGCCTCTGCCTCCCGAGTGCTGGGATTAAAGGCGTGCGCCACAACGCCTGGCTTAGACTTTCTTTCTTTCTTTCTTTTTTTTTTTGTTTTTTTGTTTGTTTGTTTGTTTTTTGTTTTTGTTTTTGTTTTTGTTTTTAGAGACAGGGTTTCTCTGTGGTTTTAGAGGCCGTCCTGAAACTAGCTCTTGTAGACCAGGCTGGTCTTGAACTCACATAGATCTGCCTTAGACTTACTTTCTTAAATACCCACTTTGCCACTAGAACAGTATAAATGTGGAACTAAGAGAACGTTTAAAAAGATCTTCCATTTCTGCAGTATCGTGTCCCTACTGAAGAATTTTTCCTTTCATATCATCTGATATTTTTCTCACTGTAACTTTCAATTCCAGCAACTCTCTCCCTACTTGTGAGAGACAATTTCCAGAATCCCACGATGCCCAAATCTGCAGAACTCTGCAAGTGCTATTCACTTATATGTGACCACGATACACCCTCATGTACATCTTAAATCACTGACACATTGCTTATAGTGCCTAATGCAACACGAAAAGTTATCTTACTGTATTTCTTAGTGTCCTGGCTAGTTTTATGTCAACTGGACGCAAGCAGGAGTCACTGGAGAGATGGGAGCCCCAAATGAAGACAATGCTTCCGTAAAATGGGGCTGCAGACAAGCCTGTAGGCCATTTTCTTAATTAGTGATTGATGGGGGAGGCTCCAGCCCATTGTGGTCCTGGGTTCTACAAGAAAGCAATCTGAGCAAGCCATGGGAGCAAACCAGTAAGCAGCACCGTCCATGGCCTCTGCATCAGCTCCTGCCTCCAGGATCCTGCCCTGCTTAAGTTCCTGTCCTGACTTCCTCTGATGATGGACTATGGTCATCCAAATAAGCCAAATAAATCCTTTCCTCCTCAACTTGCCTTATGGCCATGGTGTTTGTCACAGAGATAGAAACCCCAACTGAGACACTTGGGGGATGATGACAGGAATAAAGATCTGCACATTATGCATACTTCCCTCAAATATTTCCAGTCCATAGTTGGTTGAAATTTCATGGTTGGTATGAAACCTGCAGACATGAAGGGCTGATGTATAACATCTAAGTCCTTGTCTGTGGAAGTTAACTCTTCTTTCTCTTTTTTTTTTTTCCTGAGTCTTTCAAACAATTTATTCTACACAGCTTTCTTCATTTTGATAGCTCACCAAAGGGCATATACTCTACAGTCATAGGCAGTGAAAAACTTTTTGAGGTGACAGGACAATTGGGAAATGCCATCCCCACACGTCTACAATCTTTGTGGGTTTTTTTTTTTATTTAATGTGTACAGGCATTTTGCCTGTGTGTGTGTGTGTGTGTGTGTGTGTGTGTGTGTGTGTGTGTACCACATGCATACCTGGTGCCCACAAGGCCGGAAGAGGTGTCGGATGCCCTGGGACTGGAGTTACAGATGGTTGTGAGCTGCCATGTAGATGCTCTACAAGAGCAGCCAGTGCTCTTAACTGCTAAGCCGCCTCTCCTGCCCCCAGTCTTAACATTTCACTAAATCTGTGCCCTGTGTTTAGTAAACCAGTCTAGTTACTGCACAACTTGTTGCACTCTTGTAGTGTACTCAATGAACTACTTTTCCTAGTCTGGCCTAAAAGGGTGAAAAAGAGAGGTGTCAGTAGTGAGGAAATGAGGAGATTTGAAGCATGCTATACCCTGGACAGCCAAGACAAAAAAAAAAATCCAAAAATATAAAACAAACAAATAAAACAATCATACACTTGTCTAAAAAGAAGCCAAATGGGTGGCCAATAAACACCAGAAAAAAATGCTGAACATCTTCTGCAGTCAAGGAAAAGGCAGCCAAAATGACACTAAGATCCCACACCACCCCCATGAGAATGGCTATCTGGAAGGAAGCAAGAAGTAGCCATGCTGCTAAGCATACTGGGGAGACGAAACCTTTAGACTCTGTTGATGAGGATGTAAATTAGGACAGCCTCTAAGAAAAACAGCAAGGAAGTCCTAAGTCACACATACAGAACCCCTGAAAATGGAACTACCATATGAGTCAGGTATACTGCCGCAGAGTATCTATCTACTCAAAAGAATCAGTCAGCATGCAATGGAGATACTGGTCCACCCATGAACACTGTGGCACTATCCATGGTAGCCAAGTTATAGTCCGGCTAGGTGTCCTTCGAAAGGTACATGGATAAAGAAAATGTGGCATATATATTAAACAGACATCCATGCAACAAAATTGTGTCATTTTCAGGAAAATGGATAGAACAGGAAGTGGGTTACGTTAAAGAAAATAAGCCAGACAGAGAAAGACAACTTGTTTTCTCTTATTTGTGGAAAGTAGTGAGGGACTTCTAGAGACCCAAGGAGGGAGGAGAGTAAGAGTATGTGGTTGGAAGGGTGAATACAACCAAAATATAAATATGAATACATGGATACAATGCAGAAAAACATTATATTGGTAATTGGTATGCATTAATAATTATGACTTTAAAATACAACATGTGGGGTGCTGGAGAGCTGGCTCAGGGGATAAAAGCACTTGTTGCTCTTACAGAGGACCCAGGTTCAATTCCCAACACCCACATGGAAGCTCAGAGCCATCTACAGCTCCAGTTCCAGGGGACTAGACACCCTCTTCTGACCTTTGAGGGTATTAGGCACACACGTGGTGCACAAACATACATGAAGGCAAAACAGTCACATACATAAAGTAAATCTAAAATAAATTCCAAAACCCTGATTTTTAGAAAAGCAGCTTGAGTGTTGGGTCATGTAATCAGCTGACCTGAGTATGTCTTTCACAGTCTGCAGCCTCCATCAAACAGCCAGGACACAGGAAGGTAAAAATGATGCCCACACTTTCAGCATTGGAGCTGCTGGGCAAGCCTGCACTTAGCTGTCTCTGAAGGATGGGGTGTTCTCATTAAAAATCATTCTTCTCGAGGAAGTCAGTTTGGAGGTCTGGACAATCTATGGGGCCACTGGTAGTGGATTAGTACTCATCCCTAGTACACAAATGAACTTTGGGAGCCCTCTCCACATAGAGGGATACTCTTGTCAGCCTAGACACACTGGGGAGGGTCTAGGCTCTGTTCCAAATGATAATGGACTTTGAAGATCCCCCATGGAAGCCCTCACTTTCCCTGAGGAGCAGAAAGGGCTTGGGATAGTGTGAGTGGGAGGCAGGGGTGGAGGGGAGGGAGAGGGAACTGAGATTGACATGTAAAAAGAAGCTTGTTTCTCTCATCCCTAGTACACAAATGAACTTTGGGAGCCCTCTCCACATAGAGGGATACTCTTGTCAGCCTAGACACACTGGGGAGGGTCTAGGCTCTGTTCCAAATGATAATGGACTTTGAAGATCCCCCATGGAAGCCCTCACTTTCCCTGAGGAGCAGAAAGGGCTTGGGATAGTGTGAGTGGGAGGCAGGGGTGGAGGGGAGGGAGAGGGAACTGAGATTGACATGTAAAAAGAAGCTTGTTTCTAATTTAATTTTAAAAAAAAAAAAACAAAAAAACATTCTTCTCCCACATATAGATTTCCAGTTTTCACAGACACAGAAATACAGGTATTATCCTCCAGGATGAGGAGCAATAAATAAGAAAAGCACTGAAGTGCTCAGTGCTACCCCTGGTGCATGAAAGGCCTTGTGTGGTGTTTTGACAACCCCCCCCCCAACGCACAGGGGAAGCCAACTCTCCAGTGCCTCCACAATC